CAGAAGCTAAAAATGACCCACTAAACTCCAATAAAACCACATTTAAAAAGTACACTTTCCCAAACGCTGCTAAATTGACACTGCACATGAATGTATGAATAACAAACCTTGTGAATACACACTATAACTGGAAACTTTAACACCAATAAAAATTGATGTTTTTTCTTTCCCCGCATGTCTACGTCCTTGTGTGGAGGTGTGTGCGATGTCTCCAAGGTGCAGGGGCAGTTGTGGGGATGAGGGGAGGAAGAAACAAGTGCTGTAAGTGATGCTGGCTCTGTGTGTGGTTTGCTATAGTATCATGCAACGTCTCTGAGTGTTCTTCTTGCTCTTCTTGTTGCTGCGGTTGGTCTCCTTGTATCTTCTGATCTCCCGTACTAGAGAATAAAAAGCTTCCTCCACACCCTGCAAAATAGAGAAGAAGCCGATTCGACGTTTCAGGAGGTTTTATTCAGGAACACAAGAATGGATTGATGAGTGCTGTCGACAGGTTACCGTTACCTGTCTGGTTTTGGCAGAGGTCTCTACAAACGGCACGCCGTAGCTCCTCGCCAGCTCCTGCGCCTGCTGCGTCTTCACTGTGCGGGTGCTGAGGTCGCTCTTGTTCCCCACGAGCACCATGGGGACGCTGTCACTGTCCTTCACCCTATTGATCTGCTCTCTGAGGAGAACACACGCGACAGAGCACGTTGCAAACGCTGGTCGATCAGTTCAGACTGACGATATTATTCAGCAGGTCAGACTGAAGACCTGTGGTCTTTTTAGTTTTATCATTTGCAGACAGAATAATTTAGTTGGTGTTGCAACACTCGCTGGGTTCTGTGTGTGTTACACTTTTTATCTGTGGCTTCCCTGTTTGCAACGTTTTATATTTACAAGTCAAAACATTTTTGGAACAGTTACGAAATCTACAAATGACCCCACACAAATTGCAGAAACACTAAGTTTATCTGCAGATATTTGGTAGACAAGTGAGTGCAGTTCTCGCTAAACAGGAAATAGCCTTTGAGTGCCTAAATGTGCACAGTTGAGACAGCTATGCACAGCTGTCTTAAATCTCTGTGTGACTGAAATAAGGAATTAGTCCTACTTGGAGACTACTGTTTGAATTCTTTGTCCAGCTGTCTGTGCTGGCGTGAACCCGCGAAACTTCCTTTACCTGTAAAGGTGAACGTCCTCAAAGGACTTGCTGTTGTTGATGGCAAACACACAGAGGAAGCCTTCTCCCGTCCTCATATACTGGTCCCTCATGGCGCTGTACTCCTCCTGACCTGCAGTGTCCAGGATGTCCAGCAGGCATGTCTCTCCATCAATCACCACCTGCTTTCTGTACGAGTCCTGCAAGACAGCACGGGTTAGGCTGGAATGCATCATCCTGAGTCTCACGCTGCTGCATCATGTAGCAACAAGATCTTGGTGATTAGGTGATTTTGAAATCAATGTGCTCAAGTGTGAATATTTTATAAGCAATTATAGAATAGCACCATTTACTGGCACGAAGGCTGACGTTTATTTACACGGGATATTTTAGAACGTGACAGTTATTTGCAGGTAAGATGATTATATTTTTATCAAATATTGCCATCTTTAAACTAGAAGGTTATCCCGAGGGCATGAGCTCTGCTGAGGCAAAAGGTCTGTTTAACAATTTTAAATGAAAGAGGATTTGCACAGAAATTTAACGGATATTTGCTCATCCCTTGCCCCATGCTGCACCTCTTCATCTTGGTGTTTCATGCACAGTCTTGCTGACAAAGCTGCACCTCCAGTTCAACTCTTGCCTTGGCAGAGGACTACAGTGTTAGAAGGTTTTGGGCAGGTTTTAACAAGGTTTCTGGCCTGACTCTGACAGCAGCAGTCCACGTGGTGACGTACACCATTTGCAGACACAAAATATATAAAGACTGTGAATCTCTTAACAGAAAAACATGAAATTAAATTGTGTTAAAATCAGCTCAGTGTTAAACAAAAACACTTTAAAAGATTTGTTACGCGGTCGTGCAGCAGGAATAGCAATCCTGTGATGTAACTGCACTATTGTAAAACTAAAATCTACATTAATCTGATTCTTTTTAATATGCAATGGCGATACTTAAAGAAACGCTCCTTCTGAGGGCATAAACTGGGACTTTGCTTGTGTTGGATACTCAGTTTCATGGACAAACATTTGCCAGAAATGAAAAGAATTTATTAAATAAACACGGGATCCTTGTAACTGCTCCAAGCGGCAATTCTTCCAACAACACCGGGACATATCAACCATTAAAACCGGACTAATTCTGATAGATAAAATAAAAACCTGATTAATAACACATCTGTAGCACTAATGAGCAGTACGGATGCTAGTTAAGCGCCAGATTGAATATGTATTACAGCACTTTGCGTCTGCTGGTCACTTACCTCGATAGTTGGATCGTATTCATCCACAAAGTGGTTCTGGATGAGCTGGATGGTGAGAGCGCTCTTGCCCACACCTCCTGCCCCGACCACCACAAGTTTGTACTCGGTCATACCTGCAGAGGATGAAGCCAACAGGTGACCATTAAGACATCTAATAATTTGCCCCCTTCCTCACTGAGCTGACATGGCGAAGAAGACACTGACTGACCCAGATTTATCAGCAGACGTTTAAATTCTTTTTTTTTTTTTTTTGCCAAAGTAGAGTCGATTGAAATGATTACCAAATGGAGACATAAACTGCTTGGCTTACCTTTGTGAAGAAGTTATAACGGCGTAAAATGAAAACGGAGTTTTGGACTAGATAAATGAGATTAGCTCGCTACATAACGTTAGCCTGATTTCCTTGTTTTAGACACTTGTAGAAACACTTCAGGATGTGTCCAGAACTTTCTTATCTGACCCGCGCGTCCAAAAAAGATTGAAGTAAAACTGTTGAGCTACTAGTAAAATTCAGAATTTATGTTATTAAATAATTAAAATCCCAGATTCGTTCGAGTTCCTACTTATTCTTCATTGTCGTTCATTGGAAGTAGAGCGTTTTTTCTTTACGTTAATCCCCGGGTGAAGCAGCCTATGAGACCACAGCATGAAGACGGACATCTTAACTGTCCAATCACAGCAGGGAACTGGTTCGTGACCTCGCCCAGAGTTGCTGCGGTCCAATTATAAAAAGGTACGGCTTAAAACGGGCGTGGCATTTAAAAGGCAATCTTCCTCGAAATGCTCACAAAGAGAACTAAATTTAATTTGAATACCGAACAATACGATGTTATACGTCTAAAAAACAAGTTTGAAGCAAACAGCAGCTTTGTAAATGCTCAAAGTGATTACGGGAAGTGTTACGATATTTAACTCGGCACTATATACTACATGTGTGGTCATTGCCCCCTTGTGGCCATATTGAGGAACTGCAACGGCAAATTAGTTAATGCACAACAACTATGTAATTATTATATTAATAAAATTCGTTAAAAACCATAGTTAAAAACCATAGTTAAAAACAGCAACATAAATGAAATAAAATAATAGTAATATGGGAATAGTATTTTTATGTCTCCCAAATGACCTTTGGATGTCTCAGACCTGTTGCAGTTCAACCTGGATAAAAACTTTTAATTTTAGGTTTATAGGGAGAGTTACAGACACAAGAACTGCACGGCCCACTCAACAAATCATCAAGTGGGATAGAGACACATATTCTTTTACTTGCCTTTAAAGCGCTTTACTTCTTGCAATACCTTTCTTTAGGAACACTTAGATTTTAACTGCATGGACCCAGAAACACGTACAGAAACCATTGTCTTTGAACACAGTTGGCATCCAAAAATGCAATTTAAAGCAAAGAAGAAGCCACTGAAAGTGAAATTCTTTGTGGAAAACATTTGCTTCTCAGACTAAAGAGGAGAAGGACCTCCAATAGTATGGAGTAACATTGTAAATCCTGTGGAATTACACATCTAGAAAGGCATCATCAGTGCTGAAAGGCAGGCTTCACAGCAACATCCAGATGATATTCTTTTAAGGGATGTATGTTTCAGCAAAACAATGCTAAACCGCGCACTGCATCGATTTCAGCAGCATGGGTTCCTAGTAGAAGAGTATGGGTGTTGAACTGGTCTGTGTGCTGTTCAGATCAGCTGAAAACATCAGGAGCATTAAACAAGAAATACAACAAAGAAGATCCAAGTCTGTTGCATAGCTAGAATTTTATTTTAAACAAGAATGGGACATCATTCCTCATCTGGAAGTCTAGCAGCGGATCTTTCAGTTTCCAGATGTTTATCGATTGTTGTTAAAAAAAGAGGTGGTAAACATGGCCCTGTCCCAACCTTTTTTCAAATTCTACATTCAAAATTGCCCTATTGTGTTTGTTAAAATGGTACATGAGATTTTTTTTAAATAAGATTTCCAAATCATTGCATTCACTTTTCATTTACATTTTACACAGAGTCCGAACCTTTGTTTTGGAGTCAGGGTTGTAGAATTTTGGACCTGATTATTAAAAATCACGAATCTTTACTGCCCTCTAGTGTTCAAAGCAACTTTTAAACCCTTGAGTTATGTCAATGTAGGCAATACTTCCGGTAAATTCTTTTCAAAATAAAGAACCAACTGAACCGTTAATAAAGGCGCTGACTGAGTGGATTTTTAATTATTAAAAGATGACGATGAAAATCGCTTGGGGAGATTGTTTCAGCTCCGTTGGAAACAGAATGATTTTATGATTGTAAGAATAAAAAATGCAGAACTCAATTCTTTCAATAGAGCAAAAATAAATGCGGAGAATCGTTGATTTTTTTTTTATTCACAAGCGCTTTAGAGGAAGCGGCACCGCACATACAAACAGGCGTGGACAGGCCCTGCCTGATCCATCATGCTCACTTCCCTTGTCTGTGACGTCCACGTTTCCCCCTCACTCTCCCACTGAGTGCATCTGCTGTCCTATCTAATCTTTGCCTAAAATCACAGCGATAATCCTGCATCCATCTGTTCCGAGAGAAAGAGAGAGAGAGAGAGTGAAAGACAAAGCACCGACAATCTGAAAACCAACACCATTTTAATGCGTCATCATGTTATAGGTGATAAAATCCCGATGACACAATTGCACTGAAATAGTGACATCATCTTAAATTGCTTGAATTTTATTATACACAAGGTTATCTCACATGTACACTTTTTTACATAAAATATTTTCCATATATTTGCATTTTTAAATACAGATCTTTTCTTGTCTTTTTATTTATTTATTTTTTTTACACCAAATCCCACCAGATAACCACACATTTCATTGAGGATGGGAAGGAAAACATTGGAGCAGCCATAAACTGAGACAAAGAAGAAAAAAGCAGATCAAAGATACACTGATACAACACGCACAAAATGAACTTGTTCACAGTTATCATCATTCACGTCTTTAAGACTTTTCACTCAAAAAATGGCAACTGACCTTTTGCACTTTTTTTCTTGTAATTATTCGACACATCAACACATTTAAAAACTAAACCCCCAAGTGAATCAAACACGTCCTTTTTAAACAGTCCAGCACTGCAGTTTTATCTCGCAAACGTGACCCACTGAGTACCACTAACAGATGTACTGTCTGTCAGCACGAACAGATGCAGGAGTGGTGTGTGTGCGTGTGTGTGTGTCTGTGTGTACACAAGTCCAGTACTATTGCAGATTACCTCGCTCGTATGTGACTGTACTCCATTTCCCAGCTGCCAGTGCGCTTGACAGGCAGGAAGCTGAGGTTCTCTACTATTACAAGATATAAGTGAAGCTGAACTTCACACATTCTCTAATAATGTTCGCCTATCAAACTCTGTCTGCACGATTCACTGTGCACTCGCATGAAATTAGCCCCCCTGTGTGTGTTTGTGTGTAAAAGGGAAAAGATGAGGGCTGGCACAGTACTGCACCACCGTGTCCATTAAATATGCTCACTGCACAACTTTTCAGCACCTGCACCCAACACAACAGCACATTTGCTGTCACACACACACAGACACACACAGTCGATCTGAAAAGCTTGGATTTACCCGCACAAACACAACTGATGTTGAGAGAAGGATAAGACAAGGAGGAAAAATGGAGGGAGAGGCTGCCAGAGAAAAAAGAAAAGGCATAAACAGAAAGTGCTGCGAGGCCTGGGAGTGTTATAAATATGTACCAAGCTGAGGGAGACTATACACACTGAATAGAAAGTGGGAATTGTCAGATGATTACTGGCGACTGTGACCTGTAAGCGTGGCTGGACATGAGATGCAGTGAGAAACTGTAGGCGGCAAAGTCAAGCACACAGGTGAAGGGAAGTTTTACAGCTTTACACTCATCTACGTACGACTTTACAACACCTAAGCACCTTTTTTCTTTTCACTTTGATTAGGAAGTTTGAAAGTTAAACTCAGTGGCGTCGTGGCGTTGTGGCTGGTGGCGTCTGTTTAGTTTATCTGGGAGCTTTGAGAGCTTGGATTTGGTGATGAATTCTGCATTGAATAGAAGTGTGAGGTTTTTAAAACTGAGGCTCTGAAGGTGCTTTCCCAGCAAAATAAAAGTAAATGCATGACTCACACATAAAAAATTAAAAACAACACAATCCCAGTGGCTTCAGCAAGTTGCTATACAGACCCACAACTCTCTCGCTCTTTCTGTCTCTCTCTCTCTCTCTCTCTCTCTCTCTCTCTCTCTCTCTCACACACACACACACACACACACAACACACACACACACACACACACACACACACACACACACACACACACACACACAGGATCTCCTAGTTGCGGATACAGAACTCCTGACCAATCACAATGAGCATCAGGATCAGGATGTAAGATGAGTTCTGATGAAAATGAAAACAGGTTTTTTTGTGTAAATTTAGCACTCTGCATGCACATGCTTGCACACGCACACTGTCTCTCTCTCTCTCTCTCTCTCTCACACACACACAAACACACACACCTACAGTGGAATGAATCTGATCCACTCTTTTGATATGCGCTGTTATAAATTTTAAGAAGCACACAGCAAGTCTGTTCAGTGACTCTCTTGCAGTCGTTCTCCAGAAACACCCTTCCTCTTTCATTTTTTTTTATCTTGTTATTATTATTTTTTAAAACTTGTGTCACGTCAGTCTTCTATGTGAGCTCCTTCTCTATTTCTCCCCCGTACATGTAGGAGTTATATCCGGGCGGCTGCACATACTCCTCAGACTTATCCCAGTCTGTCACCCATCCTGACCCTGACCCTGCTCCTCCTCCTCCTCCTCCACCGTTGAAACCAGCCCCCGATTGGCTTATGGCTCCGTACTGCCCCCCTCCACGGTACATCTCTTCTGTTTCATTGGCCAGTTCATCCTCGTCGATTATACCGCACTTCTCCTCACTTGTGTCCTCTATGTCTGCCCAAGGCTGCTTTTCTCCTGATGCAAAGAGTCCTAGTGAAGAAGAAAACAGATCAGCAATGAAACTGCGATATTTTAGAGATGCGTTGCAAAACACTGTAGAGCCAAAGTCCTACCATAGAAAACCACTCCTCCATAATGAACAAGTGAGGCTATAAGGAAGACGTACTGCCACTCCTCACGCGTCTGAAATGATTCAAAAGGTATTTTAGCACAAGAAAGAGCAAGAACAAGTCTCCCTGGTGTGTCTTTACTCATTAAACATCTTGAGCTTTATGCTCAGCTTTGTTGATACACGTGAAAGAGTCACCTTGTGTTTGGTCATGGCACCAACTATGAGAGGACACACCATTCCAGATAACGTTCCCACTCCGTTCGAAATGCCCATCAGTATGCTGGCATATCGAGGCGCGATATCCAAGTGATTGACATTAAACCCTGAGTGAAAGAGCAAAAACACAGAATGATTTTTACACTTAGGGGATAGAAAAAATGATATCATTTTTTAAAAACACATTTTTGTCTTAACGACGTTCACTTCAAACAGTTTTATAAGATAATGATCTAATATCTGTCTGTGTGTGAAATATAAAGCCATATCCAGGTAGTAGCGGGCACAGCTTGTCATCCACAAACCAACTGGGGATGCCATGTCCATCTTTGATATACAGTCTATGCTGCCAATGAAAACACTACAGCTGACTGACAGACTCATGTTTGCAAATTAGGTCCCATTTTAAAGTCCTATCAATGTCAAGTTTTATTCTCATTATGTAGCTTTATTGTAATCAAACTGTCAAAACTCATTAATTTTGATTGGTAAATTACCATTAAACAAACTTAACCTAGCTAACTAATATGGCAAATTCATTTACAGTCATTTTTAACAGGATTTTATAATACTGTGAAAACCTTCAGAAGCAATAACCTGAAATAACAATTTTCTTATGACTTCATCAGTCTCTCACATCAATGTGGAGGAATTTTGGCCCAACTGTTCTTTATAACTTTACAAAGTTAATTGTGATTCGCATCAACTGATTCATACACACCTCTCCTAATGTCTCACCACAGCAATGCTTTCAGGTTGAGGCGTGGACTTTGACTGAACCATTCAAGATCATTTCTTTCTTTATTTTTCAGCCATTCTGTTGCAGATTTTCTGTTCATTGTCCTGTTGCATGACACAATTTTAGCCAAGCTTCATCTATCAAACAGATGGCCCCAAATTTCACTCTGTATACTTTGTTATACAGAGGAGCTCGTGGTTGACTCTATGACTGCAAAGTTCCCAGGTGCTGTGACTATAAAACAATGGCTGGGATGAGTAAAGGGGAGATGACACACAACAAAATTAAATAAACCATTGTGCAGATTTCTTTGTTTTTAAATATTGTTGGAAACATTTGGGAAAATGTAAGTAGGGCAACACATGTCAACAGAATCTAGAAAATGTGTCCTTTTCATACTTTTAAGTTAAAACTTTAACAGGAACCAGTTTAGCTCAGTAGTTGAGCAGGTTAACACACCCCACGAGGCCTGGGCTCGATTCTGACCCTTGGTCCGTTGCAGTGTGTCTGCCCTGTTCTCTTTGTCCCTGCTTTCCAGTCTCCTCCTCACTTATAACTATCCAAAACACTTGATTTACCGCTGTCCTGCTCACATTTAAAGCAATACTTAAAATTCCATTGTCTCTCATTAAACCTTACTATCACCTTCATGTAGCAACAGTAACACGACAAGTCAGGTTTTCACCTTACATGTTTAGAACATAGATTACCTGAGATAGCAAATCCACTGAATCCCACCGCCAGGACCAAGAAGGAGATGGCAATACCCTTTGTGTGAGAGTAGCCCACCACCAGCAGGAGGGTGGCTTCCATCCCAAAACCTGTGGAAATTCCAAAGAAATCCACATCAACACAAAGGAATTACGAACACTAATAACAAACCCTGTTGTTACGGTCAAGGCAGTGCCGATATGCCGTGATTTTCAGTGTTTGAAGCTGTACACGTGTTTATGCACACGCTGATTTGACCTTTAAGTTGTGCTGAAATATTAATTTGCTTCTAATGCTGGCAGCTACTGCACTTTAAATATTCTAACTACAAGCTGCTAAATGCCCCACAACTGACAGCATAGTTTCATATGTTTAATTTTAGGAGAACTACAGCATCATTAATAAGTTCATCTTTACACATTTATTTATTTATTTATGTTTGCAATGCTTCTAATTTAGCTTTAATCACTGTGATGTGTCAGAAAGTACTGAAAGAATTGTTTAACTTTTTGCAGCCATTTCTGCAGCAAAAATGAAATGCTATTATAATTTCCAGCTGATAATAGGATGAAGTTTTAGTGAAATAATAATTTGTCAGTTTTCTGAGCCACGGTCTAAAGATATTTAAGAGCAGTTGGTTCGTAGACCTCGGTGCTCTGGGAGGAGTGTCAGATGATAATTGTAGAGTCAGAGAATTATGGTACCCTCATACACATTTAATAGGCTCTGTTGGCCAACTAAGACGGTTCACCAGAGCTGTATACAGTTATTTAGTTTCTGCTCATAAACCATAAGCCATGCTCTTATGTTTGATAGCCTCACCTCCACAGTTCATGAGCTTCCTGACGTTGGTGGTGGACATCAGGTTGTGGGTTCTCAAGTAGTCAGCCAACTGGCCCCCAATAGGCACAATGATTGTCATCACCAGATGGGGCAAAGCTGACACTATGCCCACCTGAAAGTCATGTATAGGAGAGGTAGACAGTGTGTACATGTGCGTGAAAAGGCAAAAATAAGTGTTTTGGGGGGGGGGGGGGGGGGGGGGAAATGAAAGGGAGGATGATGAGATGTTCAAATTTGTCCTGACCAAGTGGGAAAATTACAGTTTTACTTGCTTTAACCCTACAGCTTGAATGCCATGCTAACTCACCTTGCTGATCTCAAAGCCAAAGACTTCTTCAAAGTAGGCCGGCTGGCTGATGAGCAGCAGGTAGAAGGTCCAGCTCCTGCAGAAGTTGGCCACAATAATGGCATAGACTGGCATGGAGGTGAAGAAGTGTTTCCACGGGGTTTTAAATTTCTACCACAAAAAGTAATAAGATATTAATGATATGCACCAATTCCACCAATTAAGAACTGCAGACTCAGCCAAGTGCATGGGTCTAAATACACGTACTTGAAGGGGATTGAGAAATGATGCAGACTCTCCGATCGCATCTTCAATGTATTTCCTCTCCTCTGGTGAGATGGTGGGATGGGCTGCAGGACTCTCGTATGACACCAGAATCCAAAACAAATACCAGAATATCCCAAAGCTGCCTGGGAGAGGGAGAGAGAGAAAGAAAGACACAGACATAGGAGACAAAGGGAACATTTAAGAGAGAACGAGAATGAAAAGGAGTTGTGGAAATTTAAAGAGAATCAAATAGTGGACATTTAGGGAAATTTGCATGAGCAGTCTTGGTGAGAAAGATAGTAATAAAAGTAACATAACACATATTTGTGGATGAGGGTACTAACCATAGACATAAAATACAGAAGGCCACCCAGTGTATTGCACCAGTATCCCAGCTAAAGGCATGGCCACCACTGCCCCAGCATAGGATCCTGTTAAGACAACACACACACAAAGAAGGCACAAACCCTGTTTATATCTTTCTTTCTTGCACTCAACATGTTTTAGATCCATCATAGTCTTTTTAAACTCTTAAACGTTAGATGAACTTCTAGCAGTTTCATCACAAACGTGTCTTCAAATCCACAGAACCTGTGCAGACATTGTAGATACTGATCTGTGAGGTGACAGGAAGCTGACATTACCACAAAAAGCTGTCGTGGCTAATCGACTTCGCTCAAGAGGAGGTGCCCACTTGGCCCAGATCCCATGACAGGCTGGGTATGATACGCCCTAAAGGATAGAATACGGTCAGGGAAACACCTGTGCATGTGGGAATAGTCCTACACAGAGTCCAGATGTGGACAAAAACTCATATTTACCTCTACAAGGCCCTGGCATATCCTGACAAGTATGACGCAGCTGTAATGGCAGCGAGCGGCAGATGGAATCAGCATGTTGAGCGTCGATGTGGCCACGATGGCAAAGCCGAAAACTCTTAAAAACACAAAGGACAGTAACACTGGCATCAGAACATGAAAAAATCCCAATACATCCCAATACTGGCATTTTCTATGAATGCTGGTTCAGCTGCTTTGCCTCTTACTGTTCTGATTCAAATTATTCTTTTTTCCACACCTAGCATGTATGCAAATTCAACCAGATCTGACACCATAAATGTGGAGATATTAACCTGTTTGCTGCAAATTTTTGACATATAAAGCCACCCGGGATTTGTGTGACGATGTAGCCCCAGAAGAAGGAGCCATGAATCATCCCCACTGTCTCTGGATCCCAGGTGAACTGTGCAGCCTGGAGAGAAGAAAAAAATTATATGACTTTAGCTCACTTCACAACAGAGGAGATTACCTTGAAAACTTAAGGTCAAGGGCAACTCTGGTTCATCATCCCCAACCACAAAGCCCACGAGTTGGATGTCCCTGCTAAATACATTAAATAGAACCAATGGTTCAGTATCTTGCTCAAGGATATTTCGACGTGCAGACCTGAGTAGCTGGGGAATCGACTAACAACATTTCGATTGGTGGATGAACTGTTTTAACTCGTGAACCACAGCCAAGGCAAGCTGGCACAGAGCTGGCCTAGACTGCAGGACTTTAGAAAATTTGATATCACTACACAAAGTAAAGTTTGTTTATCAGCAGTTAAGATGATGGCAACATCAAAACGCCTTTATAGAACTTTTCAGCTTTAGTCCCCAGGTCCTAGAATAGTCTAATACTCTAATACATGACACTACTTATTATGACTTATCAAGTCATTTAAAAAGTTACATAATTACAACATTTTATTCTTCTCCAACCAACAACATTGTAAAAGGGATAGCCTCAATACAACACACTGCATACTGTGATTAATATAAACCATTAGATATAGTCCAATGAAGATTTAAAGTGATCCCACAGAAAAAGACTTAAGACAGTAACTTTCATTGGTACTGTGAAAATACTGCATGTTACCTGTGTTCCAACACAATTATTGCAGATGTGGCTTAATATCAAATTCATAAAGTAGGTCAATAAAGGCACAGAAGTTTTAATTTCTCTTCTGCTACTCACCACAAGTACTTCCTTGTTGCCTTTGTAGACAGTATGATCATTGACCATGCTTACAATGGCCACACCTAGGTTGCACCTGATGCCAAAGGAGATGCAGAAGCCCAGGCCAGACAGGATGGCGATGATGTACCGCCGGGGCAGGCCGAAGCAGGTGCAGTCCACCACAGGCAGCTCCTTCTCCTCCACCAGCTCAGGACGACCCTCCGCCGACAGCTCAATAGTTTCTCCATTTGGCTGCCGTTTCTCAATCAGCCTGATGGGAGACAGCAGAACATGTGTTAGGCTTTTGGGGTAAAAGTAAACAAAATGGTGCAAAAGACAAAATTCTGTGTATTATAATGTGCTGCAATGAAATTGATGCCACGGTGATCTTTACACCTAGCCTCACAGATGATCTGATCTAACAAATCAAAGTAAAACTGCAAAAAAAAAAAAAAAAGCAGGAACACAAAAGTGTGAGCTTCCTTTAGAAAGGAGCTATGAAAGGTTCAGTCTCCAGCTTCCATGCTGACATCACCTGGAGTTACCAGATTATTTTGAGCCTGTGACAAAGAGTTTGCATCTTTTCTTCATGCATGTTTTAAACGGCAAAGATTTTGCACTCTCTCTCTCTCTTTTTCCTCCTACAAACGCACTCCTCCAGGCTGACATCATGCTCCACACCGGGGTCACGCCTGACTCAGCACGTCCCAGTGTGTGGAAGCAGCTGTCACAAGCCGAGGAGCTACGACAGCCGCGTCGTCTCTGCTTCAGGATCCAAGGAACCTACTGGTCCTCTCACTCTGATAGTGTCCTCACCACTAAATGCCTTCATTTTTTATGACATCATTCAGCCGAATCTGCTTAACAAATTAGCATTATGTTTAAAACTACAAAAGGAACTTTTGTAGAAAATCAGGAGTTACACTTTACCGAGCTGCAAAGACAGGGGTGCAAGTGTCTAAAATGTGTTTGCTTGTTTTTTAACCGCTTAAAATCCCACGGTTTTAGCCCATGTGAGGTGATCTGCTTGTTTTCCAGGCTATTGTTCAGTTTGTGTGACCATTTTTGTAAAACAACATGTCGAGCATCCCCTCAACAGAAGTCATACAGAGAAGTCAGAGAGCAGCCATCTGTGTATTACAACCTTCATACTCACAACAAAAACACACACACTTCCATCAGATTTAAGTAAACAACACCTACAGATATACATTAGACAAAGTGTCACCATTTTTTCAGTGAATGTATATATCAGTGTTCACTGTCTGTTAAATTTGAGTTCGCAGCAGAGCGAATCATGTGTCCGCCACCCACTTTCCATTGAGGTGATCCAGTTAGCCAGTGAGCTGGAGAATCGTGCACAGAAAAAAGCACAATCAACACGGGGGTCAGGCTGGCGAGGTGACGATGGTTGTGTTTTAAAGATAGCGTTTCATTGGAGGTCGGGGCTTAAACAAGGTTAGAAAGCAAGTGTGCAAAGTCGAGACAAGTCAGCCTCTGATGCTGATTAATTATTGACCTTTTTTTTTTTTAGATAAATTATTTACTCCAGCTTTTACACCACAATCTGCCACCATTTATCCGTCTGTCATCCACCGCTGTCATTATATTTCTTTTAGTTATGCGTGTGAATTCCACTCCCTCCCCCTTTTGCACACAGCACACTCTGTATAATCTCGATATGCATCCATGCAATCTGTCAAAAACAAACTAAAACGCAAGACAAGAAGACAGGTCAGTGCAATTACGAGTATAATTAAAACTGCCTACATAAAGAAATATTCTACTCTTCAGTAGATAACAGAAAACACAATGGAAAGCAACATTTTTGGAATTTGTGAGAGATTAGAGAGGCTGCATCCCATCTCCCTCCCTCCCTCTTAATCTGTCACTACACTAAGATTAGGATTACAAAAATGATTTACTTCCGGAAATGAATATGGATGGACAGACTGACTCTGCTGGGCACGATTCAGCACGTTTCTCCCTCTATCACGGCACGCTGTTGAGTTCATGCTGGTCATGTTTTTTAGTCCTTCTGTAACTCAGAAAGCCTTTTTCAGCTTTTGCGTCAAGCTGCAAAATTTCAGGTTGTTCCTCGCCTGTTAGTTAATGGTCTACATTTTTATAGAATGGCCCATCTGACTGACTTGGAAATGGGACCATCATGTGTTCATTGCTGATCTTTCACACAAAGCGTCCTGACCTAAGGACGTGATTTGCAATGTGTTTCCCAGTGGATCAAATACAAGAAAGTAAAAAACTGCAACCAAATCCTGGAAGCATTGAAAAGGGCGACGCACGACAGAAGCAAAGTCGTGCACATAAATTTGTTGAATCAGTTGTTCACGCTCCTGCCGCTAAACAAATGTGCTGACTTGTCCCCCCGCGTGGAGCTCCTCCCTCATAGTTGGTGAAGGCTGCAGGAGAATCCTCATTAAACCTCAAGACAGATTGCAGCTTGACACCTGCCCATATGCTAAGAGCTAACGAGGCTACCCCACAGCAAAAAATGGTCGTTAATTACAGATGCTTTCCACTAAAAGGCAGCCTCACCCCCTGTGTTCGTGTACAAAGCTGAAGCGAGGGAATTTCCAGCTTAGAAGCAAAGACTTAAAAGATTCTTATACACAAACTTCTTACTTCTTAACATGCTGACTGGTAAAATTTACCAGCTCTGTGTTGAAGAAGAGACACAGGTTCACAATACTGCTTGCTTCCACTCATCTGATGGAGCTGATTGGTCTCAGCTGTCAACAATTAATGAGCAAGCGAGCATGAGCAGGCAGGAGTCCTGCGACCTGGGGCTCTCTGAAATATCATAATTACAATAGTAGCAGGCTCAGTGGAGGCACACGCTTCAAACCGAGCTCGTGATTTTCACCTAGACAAAAGAAGCAAAGTCCTAAAACCTGTTTAACCCCAGCGTGAAGACTTCAATACCTCCTGAGTTTAACTGGTGTAAGGTGTTACACAAATTTGATTATATATTAAAAGTATGTTATATGAAACTCCTTAAAACAATAAAAAAATAAAACAGTTGTTGCTAAACTGTGAGTGTTTGTAAGCACACTTTGATTCTGTAATATTCTGTCAGCTTTGATAAAATCACAGCGACTCTCAGGTGACTCGGGGCCTTTATTAGACTCTGTATTAAAATCACCAATTCACAGAGTATTCGGTGTAATCCTCTCATATGAGGATGATCGAGACTGAGAGTGAGACAGCGAGGGAGTAAAAATATTATATAACACCAGACACCCTGGTCATTATTTCTCCATATTTGTGAGCTTAAATTGATTCTTGATTTTATTCCTTTTCTTTTCTTTTTCTTCTTTTTTTTTGTCTCATTTCAGCATTTTGGAGCACGCCAAGTAGCTTAAAGATTAGATTTTTACTTTTTCTCCGAGCACTTTGTAGTTTTAATAGTGATTTTGTTGTTGTCCCCCTCCTCTCCCATCCTTTGCGAGCCTCTCGCTCTCCCTGAAGTGAACAGATTGGGTCTCGGTGGGACTGTGTCACCCAGGGAGACACCCTCCTCCCCATCCTGTCACACCACTTTTTTCTCTCTCTCTCTTGCTGACACACACACACACACACAGACACACACGTTTAACAGTTACACGTGTGACCTTCATAGACGTATTATCTAAATACTCACACAGTATAACTCAATCGCAGTATGAGTGCTGTCTCCACACACACAACACTTCTCGCTACATTCACCAGAGAACAACACTTCAACAATGAGCTGCACGGGGTCGTAATATGATAATCGAACCACGTGTTAGCTTACATTAAAATATTTCCTCACAAACTGAACAAGTGAAGCAGACACTAAATGCTGAAATCGACAGCATGGACAGCATCGCTGCCAAAAACCAGGCATGCTGAGTCGTTGCAGCTGACTCTCCAAAGTGGCACAGCTATTGTAGATGAATCTCTGGTCATCTGTGAAGACTGTTTCACAAACCTGTGCCCATGTTCCACACAAAACAACAGAGACAGATGAACGGATAAAAGATAAGAATAGGAAACACAGAAGTGTCTCAAATGTGGACTTGGTGTCTTGTAAGATTTTGCCTTTTGTGTTCAAGCTTGAACCTGCTTTTTTCCTTAGACATAGCTTTATCAAGACTAACAGGAAATCCATGACAAAGACATCCTACATATGATACAAAAACTAATGCTAAATGCTGGGATTAAATGATGGCATGCTTTCCTCCCTGTGCTTCACCACAAGCAAACATATCAAATAATTATTTTTTCGCTTCACCGTTATTTGAAAATTTTATTCAGAGCACTTCTGCAATGACACTGAACTGTAGTAGCTGAAAAATGCACTCCACTGCAAGTAAGATGGATTAAAAATGGATTACCTGTCATATTCTGTATTGCCTCACATGTAGTACAGCACAGCCTCTCATTGTGTAGCCAAGCAATCCTGCAGATGCATTTAAAAGTCTTTTAATAAATCGAAGCGAGGCATTTTTATGATAGCGTCTTTGGGGTACTATTAGTAACTTTTGCACACAACCCAAATTAAAACCAAGAAGCAGTTGTGTGATTATATTTCATGCAGAGCTGTGAGAATAGCCAGATTTGGGGGATCCATCTGGAAATGTTATAAAAGAGCAAATAATGTAAGCAGAGATGTGGAGTGACCTTACAGCGCTGAAGTTTGTGCTTACCTAGTGGAGTTTAATATAGAAACAGGAGATGCATTCTGATGGAGAAAATGTTTAAATAATAGATGAACTCCTGGCTGCTTTCATCAGGAGGGATCATGGTTTTGTCTGTGAGGTGGTGAGATTGCACGCAGACACACTCGTCTGCTTACACAGTGCAGGGATGCCCAAGTTTCACCACGCATTCACACATATACAGCTTTATATACACACATGCATACACAAAACCATAACACACTGCTCTCTTATTCTTTGGCTGCACTTGACACATGCAACCGCATAAAACCACGAGGTCACGCTAAGCTGAGGAAACGCCCACTAAAGTCAACCTGAATCCAATCCAACACATCACATCTCTCATGGAATCAGCTGTGGTGATGATGCGCATGTGTGGAACAGTAAGAGAGAAACGAGACAGGCATGTGTGTGTTGATTTAAGAGACCCCAGTAGGCTGAAAGCTGCTGGTGTCTCAATGGATGGAGGATGAGGAAGAAGGAGGAGGAGGCAGTGGCTGGAGGAAGTGACATGGCTTGCATGGGATGGAATGAGTGGGAGGGGAGAGTTTAGGGATTTGCATGGCTCGACAGCTGGACTGCAAAAACAGGCTATTTCAGGACAGGATTTATACGTTTGGTTGCTACCTCAAATCCTGGGAGAGCCAAAGCTTAAAGCAATGGTTATTGCATGAGGTTCTATGATTGTCTTTAATCTGCCTTTTTTTATTTATTTATTTTTAAACTGAAATATTATCAGTACATCAATCTGTGTAGCAACTTTTACACTCATGTGTACTTTATTTACACATATGCAGCACTTTGAAATGTTCATAATCAGAGAGGATTATGAAGCTTTCTTTTCTTTTTTTAAAATAAGTACCTGCATGCACCTCCAAAGACATAAACTATGTACCATACAGGCTGCAGCAGTGACATAGTTGTCTTTTTTATATCGACCTTTCTTATTTATTGGTGCAACTAACAATTGTTTTCAGTCTCAATTAACTACATATAATTTTCTTAATTGATGGCAACAACCAATAATCATTTGGTTTGTATTGTCAGGTAGGAAAAAAATAGATGTGGAAAAACACAGTTTCAAGGAAACGTGTCCACAAGGTTTTGTGTGTTTTATCACGCAGGTGATTATTAAAATAACAGTTTATACGTCTGTCACTCAAAACTCAGCCTGAAATATTAAAAAACTTTAGAAATTCACACCGTATTTCAGTCGTTTCTATTCATTTCATTCATTTAGTATAATCCAAAACACGTTTTCATAACAATTAAAATGAAATCCTTCTTTCGCTTTAAGACGATCAAACAAACAAAAAACTGCAAATCCTTTTTAAGTCACATTATTTAAAAGAGAAAAAAAAATACGGCAAAAACAATTTGGAGCGCAAGAAATGTAATTTATACCGGGAAACTAAAGATTTAAACTTTCCGGTTTTATCTGGCCAGCGCTTTCATTCAGCCTGGTCGTGCCAATAACGCACGGAAACATTATGTAACCAGACTTTCTTCTTCTCTCCAACACCACTTTGAGCCTCACAACATCGAACAAAAGCGCAAACAATAAAAAAAGCATAAATGCATCAAACCACAAAGAAAGAACAAACACTCTTTTTCTCTCACTGATAACTTCTGTAACACTATGGAGTACCCGTTATGGGCTTCTGTTACAGCGACGACAGTGTGTCATGTTTTTTCCTCCTAATAAACCAAATTATTCAAAATATTATGGATTTCATCCATTATAAAACACTTCTTCTCTCACTTGTGACAATCAAAACTCCCTACTGCGCAAACGCGGACTTCTGTCGCTATTTTTTGTGAAGGGTTAAACCCAACACATTCCTCTACAATTAAAATAAAAAAAGAACCAACTTTTTAAGTGTTAAAAATTACTGCTTGGAGGAGAGAGAGATGACGGATGCACCAACAGCACCGCCACCAACAGCACTGATATGTGTTGCAAGAAAAAAGGCGTAAAAACGCGCACAAATCCGGGGTGAGTTGAGAACATTTGAAATATCAGTGTACCTGTGAATTTTCCCCAAAGTTTTGCCCGCGACCGCCTTAAACCTGTCTGGTCGGATCTCCATCTTTGCAGCTCCTTGACCCGGCCGGTGTGCTGATGTCCCGTGCGCCCTCCTGTCCTGCCCGAGCGCGCGTCTCGCTCTCTCTCTCTCTCTCTCGCTCTCTCTCTATCGAGCACAAATCCCTCCTTCACTGCACTGCCCCCTCCGCTCCGACAGGTGTAGGCCTTTCAGGCTCCGGGCTTCCTTGTAAAGGGATCGAAAGCCTCTGGTCGATATGGACTCTCGAGTTGGGTAAGATTTCGTTTATGCTTATTCCAAACAGGAGATATACTCACTGTTGCCCTTAGCGATAGTGCAGGAAAACATGAATAAATAAGATGGTGGAATATGATGTCTTCTCCGTTTTGTGCGTGTGGTGTAAAAAAAAGTAGCAGGGCTGATACTGTAGTACTCTTTCAGCAGGTTTCCCACACGTGGATTAAGTTCCTTGTCCCAAAATCTATGAAAATCTGAATTCATGTTCATCTGGGGTGTTTGTCACCGCCACAGGGAGACAGTGAAGATGGAGCCTCAAGCTCAAGACCCCTTGATTAAGACAAGGCTGAATCCATGTCCAGGAGAAATGCCACCTAGCATGTTAACGTATGAAATACGTCTTCTAATCTTTCTCTGTTTTTAATTTGTCTTCATGCTCCGATATTGTTGTGTTCACCATGAAGTCAGTTTATAACACTGATCGATCCACAATTAAGTGCTTTTGTGTTGCATTTATGTTCATATATGAAGTATAGATAGATTTGTAAATTTTAATATAATATTTAACATTTCAAGGTTAAAGGGCAAAAAAATGTTACTAAGAAGGCGTGCAAACTATTTGTGTATTGGCCCTATTAAAAACCTAAACAAAAGTGCTTGTATGAATGAGGCAAGTTGTGTAAAGTGCTTTGAGTACTCAGAGTAAAAAAGTGCTATATAAGAACCAGTCCATTTACAACCCACCCATGTTTAGGTATTATTTTCTTGACCAAAAAACAAATGAATGTTTGTGGATCATAATAGAGCAGAGAATCAGGCTGCTGCCACCTAGAGGTTTATTCAAATACAGTAAAAATACTGCTACACTGCACATTTTTTGCGAACACGTAAAAACATTGCTGTGCTCTTATGAGGTAAAATGATAGAAATGCAAAAATAACCAAAACCAAAAAAAAGTTAAAAAAAAAAAAAACCCTGTCACATTTCAAAACCAGCCTAAATCATTACAGAAATATTCAAACACGCATGCACGCACGCACGCACGACCACACAACACACACCACCACGCACACACACACACACACCCACCACCACACACACACACACCACAGTTACTCAAGGCAGAATGTTTTCATGCAAATACATATTAGTCCTTCAGCTAAAAAAAGATCCCATAAGCATTTTTATGAGCTGCTGCATTCACCAGCATGAAAGTAGTGACTGTCACCAGCATGTTGCATACGTTTCCTACTTTAAATCCTTTCAAAAACACAACTGTTTGTTTTATTGTTTATGTACAACTGTTTCTATCTTCTGAACAGCAAAGCTGGTTCAGAAAACAAGTATATGGAGGCACTAGGAGGATGATACAATATAAATACATAGTTAAAACAACTTTTCAAAGGTTTACTGAAAATAAAGACATAAAATCCAAGGATAACGCTGTTCATTGCTCTGCTTGCTTTAGTTTTTTGTCTTTGTACTTTTCTTTCTATTTGAATTTTGTCCTTTCTCAAACAACTTCCTTCTGACCACCATGCTCACACCCCCGTGTCTTGTTCCTCCTCCTCCTCCTCCTCGTCCTCCTCCTGGGAAAGGAGCCGGTAATGTTCGTTGCCCACCGACAGGAAGGCAGGCGTGGGATGAACCTCGTCTTCCCTGAAGTGGACAGGATGGAAATGGGAATCTGGCTGCTCGGTAGAGCTGCACTTGGTGTACAATTCGCGACGCATTTCCTGGCCGACTTCAACCTGGGAGGGAGTGCTACGGACCCAGCGGTTCTTCACTAAGGAATAGATGTAGCTGACAGGTACAGGCAAGCTGGCAAACACTATAAGCATGATGATCATAGCCAGGGCCCAGCCAGGGTACTCGAGAGTCATCTCAGAAGCCTGAAGAGGCAGAGACACAGAGCTTAAGAGTGACAAACACTGGCAGAATTACCTTTGGCTGTTAGATAAATGTTTACTTGTGGGATTAAAAGGAGCTATAAAATTAAAAAGATAAGAGATGGTTATGCAAAAGCATAAAAGTGCAGTTAACAGATAAGCAGGTTGACGCTACAAAAAATGGCTAACTTGACTATTCTTATGAAGAATAAATACAGAGATATTGTTGTGCTATGTCACGGCAGATGAATCCAGACATAAGTATTTGGATCGCATCTTGGTGTGAGTATAACCACTGCACAGCTGTGCCAATGAAACCACACGCTCTCGTTTACTGATGATTTTGTTACAAATGAAAGCTTCAGAATGAACGCTCACTGGAAAATATGTCACCAGTCAGCAGGACAACAATCCTAAACATACAGGGAGTCAATATGATGCAGAGGGACAGGTGATGATGAGGTTTAACGCTATAATGTCAGATGAGTTTTTCAGACGTCCACATCATCAGCGTATTTGTTCTTCCCTGCGTAACCTGAATAAACTGCACAAAAATGCCATATGTAGAATAAATATAAACACTCTAGTTCAGGATTCCTAAGGTCAATGTTATTGTCTGGCCAAGTGAATCTCCTAATATCAGTATAAATTAACCACTTTCCATTTGTTGAGCATCACAATAAAGGAAATGAGAATCCAGAACATTGAGATGGTGGTTGCACTGAAGGTCTGTGAGATCATCAGAGTTGATACAAAAAAAAGTTTCTTTTCTACTGTTTTGGACACTGTGCTAAAACCACAACATCTTCCAGCATGCATATATGTGTTACACACATGCATATAGTGTGTACTGTGGGTCAGGAGGTTGCCTACTGAAGTGGAGTGGGATGTTTGATCCCAGATTGTCCAGTCTTCAGGACAAATACAATGAATTCTGACTTTCTCCTGATGTATTCATCAGAATGAGTGTGAGTGTTTGGGTGAATAAGGCTTGTGTTAAAAATCACAGTGAGTGCTCATAGTAGAAAAGAGCTATGCAAACACCACCTGATATTTTAAAACAGTAACTGGCTATTTGAAGTTTAAAATCATGTGATTTGATGGAAAGTTGAAGTCGAACATCTCACCGTGCTTTGATTCCAGGCGGTGTACGTGGGCCCTTTGAAGACCATGCGGAGCAAACTGGCTGCCAGAAGACTGACCATCGCCAGCAAACACACATATTTCCAAAGGTACTTGTACACCACCGGAGGGCGCCATTTGAGCATTATTTCAATATCATCCAGAAAGCTGCAATAATCAAAATGCTTTTCTTAAAATGCATCTTTTCAAACAAACATATAAAGACAAAAAAACCTGTGAAAGTCAGAGATAACGTTGCTTACCGATCTGTTCCATAAACCCACGCCACACTAATGGTTTCAAAAATGACCACAATGACCAAAGGCAGGGTTGCAGAGTAGTCATCAAACATGGTCACAAAATAGTTGCCAGAGCGCTGAGTGAACAGTAATCCAATAATGAACCCCAAAGCACAGCTGGACACTAAAAGACAGAAAACATTTAAAGACCACTTCAAAGACAACAAGACTACATTTATCTCCCATAGTACACCACTGCAGTACGAGAATCTTGCACTTTTTTGGTTTTTATGTAGTTTTATTTAAGAAAAAAATAACAATAAAATACAGCAGCAGAGTTTGAACACATGTCAACTGATGTTCAGTACCCGTGAGTAGGGTTCGGTGATGCCCCAAGAGGCTGAAATTGTCCATGAGAGGTGTGAGGATTCCCTGCATTGTTCCAAACATGGTGCTGAGGCCCAGGTTGAGCAGCATGAGGAAAAACAGGGCGGACCAGAAGGGACTAGCTGGGAAGAAGGCCATCACCTCAGTGAATGCTATGAATGCCAGGCCTGTCCCTTCGACACCCTGAACGCACACAAGATAGTAAGATAGTGGAAATACGTGGGGAAAAAGCAGATCCACTCAGTCTAACAGACAACAAATGTGTGTTAACTGTGATGCTGTTTCCAGAGCTAATCTATACCAGTAAATTACCTGTGCACCTTTTGCATAACATGCTCTTTAACACAGAGAATAGGTCTTTTCTTTTTAAATAAAACAAACACCGTGAGATAACATGACTCTTTGTACATCTTGTCCTGTTTCTTTAGTATCTCCTTCTTTAGTATCACAGCTTGCTTTCATTTTTCCTAGAAAACCAGCAAGATACAATTTCCAATACATTTTCATTGTCTTGCCTGCTGGATATTTTATAGCACCTCCTAGATTCTTCGTAGGTCCTGGGAACATCGGCGCTCGCCTACATACAATTGTTACTGAAATGTTCAACTTTGATTTTTGTAACCGATCCAGTATCTTGTGCCTCGTAGGACACCTGCAGTTCTTTCATTTATGCAAAGTTGTCTTTAAAACACTTTGTAATCCTGGATGAGTGAAGCAGCACATTAGAAACTCAGTTTAATACCAGTGACTGCTCTTTATTATTGGACATACCTCTTCCTATAATGTATTATAATACAGAACATATATACATAAGAAATCTCAGCTGTTGTCCTAATTTTCACGCATGCTTATAGATGTGTATTCCCATCTTGTTACCGTTTACACGCTACTTGTTCCAGTTTCTTAGATCCCTTAAACTACTGCAAAAACACTACTGTTTTTTTTGTTGTTGTTTTTTTTTACCTTTGACATGTGGACGTTTTAAACTTTGTGCCTCAAGTCGCTTGTTTTTAATCATGTTGTGAAGCAAAGCTGTTGTTATTAATATCTCAAGATTACCTTATTCATCTCCTGCTCCAGACTGCAGTCAGTGATTTTAGGACCCACCATGGAGCTGTAGAGATGGTACCACTCTCTGTATTCAGCTAAAGTCACAGTGCTTACATCTGTCATGTTGAACCATGGCCACCAATGCTGGTTAGATCCACTGGACGCCAATAAGTTTAGTACACTGAGATTTCTGAAAAGGTTAAACACAAAAATAATAAATAAATCTAAGATAACCAATCAAACAAGCAGTCCACCTTAAGATTGTTACGGCAGTTTGCCAATCTAAAAGTGCTCGCTAGTTGGATTTGAATTACCATTTCAATCATGCACAGACATACGTACTCAGCCACACAACGTAGTGCAATGTTCTTGGCACGGAAACCGAGCACGATGAAAACCACTAGAGAGGCCAGCACGGATGTCATGAAGTTGATGCAGGAGACCATCAGAGCATCCCTGTGGCAGTTGTTGTGGACTGGATTGTAGGAGGAGTACGCGATAACAGAACCATAGCCCAGGCCCAGGGCGAAAAACACTTGTGTAGCAGCCTGTCGCCACACCTGCACGTTACCCCAGATCTCCAGCTGCAAATATGACAAAATAAAAGCATCTTTAGGTTTACATTCTTTCGTCAAAGCTTAAAATGTTTTATTATGGGTTTTTTTGTAATCACTGAGGTGTTTGTCTTTTGTTAGTTAAATGAAAATAAAGAAAAGATGTCAAGAAAAAGGAAGAGAGAGAATATTGCTTACCTTAGGATAAAACATGTAGGTGATTCCTTCCAAGGCACCGTCCAAAAGTAATCCTCTGATCAGGAAAATAAAAAGCACCACATAGGGAAAAATGGAGGAAAAGTACATCACCTAAGATTGGAAAAAGAAACGGATAATGATTTCAACAGTGCAGCATTTTGTAAAATATGATCATTTGCTTTTCTCAATCTCACTTCACTATTAAAAATTAAAGTTTACCAGTTTACCTGCCAAGCACCAACCCTCAGGTTCCTCAAATTGCATACTTTTATTTTTAAACTTAGTAATTTGAGTGCATACCCAGCAAACACAGTGGTCATGGCACAGCACCAAAAAAACTGAACCGTAAATGTTAGGATGTTTATGGTGTTTTCATGTAAATATTGCATCAGCATCTCTTACAAGGTGAAAAACACAGATTAAAGTATTGCAAAAAATTTTCTTTTTATTTATTCACAGTAACAGTCGCTTCAAGGTGGTTTTTTTGCAAGGCAAGGACACGACAATATTAAAAATAACCCCAACAATCACACAGCATGTATGTGGTTTGTACCTTCCTATGAACAAAGACCATGGTAACTTGAATCATCATTGTGGTAAACGTCCACAATGCAGGTTCAACTTTCATTTTGGAGTGATTTGTATGGGCTCAAAATGTGGTCATAAATATTTTGTACTTGTAAATCGGTTTTGTACTTGTAGATTTGTATGTGTAAAAAAAGTTGTGTGTGCGTAAAAAAGATTTGTATGTATAAAAAAAGTTATGTGTGCGTAAAAAAGATTTGTATGTGTAAAAAAGATTTGTGTGTGGACTTGTAACCCTGCAAGTTACAAGTACGAATTTTGACCCTATTTTTCTTCCTTTAAGCTGATTGGTCAATGTCATGTCAATCACAAATTAAACAATCCAATCAGAGAACAGATGGGTTTGGCTGTCGGAGGGGAACTTTTTTGAACTGCAGGTCCTTGAAGGGTAATCTCTATATAAATATCTGATAGCAGTTAGGTCCCCTTACTTTCAGTAGCTGTTGAAAGGATAAAGTTTTGGTATGTCAGTTAGAAATACCATTATTACTTTAGGATTAGTTTAACACAATGTCAGGGCTGACCCGGACCATTGCTGTGAGTCACAGTGCGCAGCATAAAAGTCCTTTCACATAGGATGCAGGATGTGCTGCTAATGCTAATTGCTAACTAAAAGCAAAGGATCCAGAATTTGTTGCTGGCTGCTGGGCTCTGTGGGTTTTTGCAGCAGCTCTACCTGTACTAGATGCACCTGCTCCTTGTCTTTTCAATCTCTGACTTTATGTCCTCTACAAGAGTTTTTTTTTTCTGGTTCTTCAAATGTTCAATAAAAACATGTATGCTAATTCATAACGAAGAAAGCTTTGTAATGAAGACTGTCATTTCCAAAACACTGCCCCCCCTGCGGTCCGCAGCGCTGTTGAAAAGGCTGTGGAAGTCCCTGTATTAAACACGTAGTCCTGTGACACAAAAATCACCAAACTCGGACGACCACAGACTGTTTTCCTTCGTGGTGATGAAGGAAAACGCTGGGTTGGCATGTAAAAGGGCATTTATTCCCTTCAAAGGCCCGCAGTTCAAAAAAAGCACCCTTCCGACAGCCAAACCCATCTGTTCTCTGATTGGATTGTTACATTTGTGATTGACATGACATTCACCAATCAGATGAAAGGAAGAAAAATAGGGTCAAAATTCGTACTTGTAACTTGCAGGGTTTTTTTGGCTAAGTCCGCACCCAAATCTTTTTTACACATACAAATCTTTTTTACACACACACAAATCTTTTTTACGCACACACAAATTCTTTTTACACATACAAATCCTGATTTACAAGTACAAAATATTTATGACCACATTTTGAGCCCATAGGATTTTCCACCATAGGTAGACATTGAGAAAAGGTTGTCAGCCAACAGTTATCAAATGTCAACATATTTACTGGGTAAGTGCAACATTTGGCTCAAGGTTATACAGCCAAAATGTAAAACTGTGGTTGTCATCTTAGCCATTCTACCCAAGTTGATCACACAAAGCGCCTCCTACTGCAACTCTCATTCACACAATGCTTTTACCTTTGCTTTAACACTTTTTCTAACATTCACAGAGATACATCAGGAGCAACTCTGGGTTCATTATCCTGCCAAGATTACCTTGACATGAAGCCTGGAAGAGCTACCAACATTTCAATTTGTAGACATCCTGCTCCATCCTGCTGAGCCACTGTGAGAAGGTCCACTAAAAATATTTCTGCCCATTTTGGAAGATGCGTTGTCAGTGCAGGTGTCCATGTTTAAGATGGCTAGCTAACATCAGCAGCTTTTTCCCAGCCATTGATTTTGCGTGTCTGTTTCTTAGTGTTAATGTGTACTAAAATGTTATAATCACTGTAGAAGATTATAGTACTGTCAGATACACAAAAAGTTTAGAATAATTGAAAATGCAGTTATTAATTTCCATCGAATACATTTAAGACAAGCTGTCAAGTAAGCACAGTGAATATATGGAAAAATACTAATGTAAGTGGGAACATGGCATGTCTGAGCCCGCGCTGGAATGGTAGCGCTGGGCAGGATGGCTGCTGTGTTTGCTTCGGATTACTCCTCACCCCCCACCCGACCCTGTGGCTTGTCACGTGTTCCATAATGTTGTGCTGTGGACATTTATGCGCTTTTTTGTGCAGAGGAGTTTTTTTATTTCCTGTTCTCATGCTGTCCTCCCACAGGAGCCCAGCATGAGTAGAGGTCTCTTTTTTTCTCTTGTACTTTCCCATTGTAGTGTATATTTCAGTGTTTGTTTTCTGTAACGCTACGGATCTCCAACCTGAGGCAGAAAAGGGGCGAGCTAACATTAACACAAACACTTTATATTTGTGTGCTAACGGTGGGACTGGTGTTCATGTACCTTTGCAGAAGACTTGATGCCCTTTATCATTGCCAAGGCAACAATTGCCCAAGCAGCCAATAAACAGCCTGTCATGATGGGGTTAAACTCTCCAGATTCTTCAATGGAATTTGTGATGTTGAGAGCTTTCCGAAACCAGAAATACGACGTTGGGGAGCTGCCTGCGCATTCTTTCACTGTTGATTGAGAAAAGAAAACACTGTAGGCTTCATCAGACATCACTTCATTTCACTCGGTCATGTGATTACCTGTGTCATTGGAGGTTACATTCGTTGGACACTTCTCCCATGGCAGAGGATACTGAAAGGAGTTACCCATGTAGAACAGGCTCCATGCAATGATAACGTTATAGTACAAAGCCACATAAAAACAGACCTGGGGAAGAAGAAAGCATTTATATCAATAAATAATCAGTATTATTAATCATATTATTAAAATATGCTGCAAATTGTTTGCAGCTTCAGTGTAATGCTGTGATTTCTTTTATACTTGTAGCCTACAAGTAAAGGCTAACCCAGGGAATGTAGCCATAAGGTTCGACATTGACCTTAACAATGACAAACAGAGGTTAGGTCTATTTAAAGAAAAATAAACACGCTTTATAAAAACCACAGGCTATCTAGTCGTAGATTTCTGTTGTGTGTGCGGACAAAAACGTTCTTGGGTACTCTGTGTTTTCCCCAACTTGTTACGCAATCAACTGCCAGCACAGACGCACAGCACACTACCTTTCTCATGTTACAGCATGGGTGTGCGTGAGTATATACACACACATGCAGCTTGGCTAAGGTGTTTACAGAAAGGTGATAAAGGCGGTGACACGTGATGCAGGATTGGGGCCAGATAAGTGAAGGTGAAGAGATTAAAAATACTGACCCCGGTGCTACTTTTGAAACCCAGACTTGGAAAAAGCAAGTCAGCTGTCAAACAACAGCAGCCTTATCAGAACACACAGGTACATGAACGTAAACAGAAAAAGGTCTCAGACAGAAAAAAAAAAAGAAAATGCTCACCATGCAGCTGGAGTAGCCGATCCCTCCCAGCTTTGGAGAGATGTGCTTCCATACACCGATGCTGCCCTGTCGAATGCTTTGACCAGCAGCCAGCTCCATAAAAAACAGTGGAACTCCCACAACCACCAAAAGAAAAACATACAGCAGCATGAAGGCACCTGGAAGGAACAAAGGAGGACATATATTTGAAAGGCAAACCCAAAGTCACCTGTAGTTCCAGAGGGAAAAAAACTTTGCATTTGCACACACAGGCAAACACAGTCTAACTAAGCACATTAAAAAAACAACAGTTCTTTACTTTTTTTTAAACACAAACTCAGAATTTGCCATTGAAGCTGGAAAAAATGAGCAAATTTATATGTCAGCAACCTCTCTAAAAGATGCTTGGAGTCTCATGATCTAACCAAACATGCTGCATGCATGTGGTGTACAGCTATAAATAAAATATGGTTTAGAGTTCTATTCTTCTCCAGAAAGAAAAGTCAGTTTCACACAGTGACATTCGCAGGATCTCAGAAATCAAAAATACAAAAAAGCAGTATAATGATGCATAAAGCTGTATACTACAGCACTGCTGGGACAACGTTGTGTAGACAGATAAACCAAAAGTTTAAATATTTTGCCCTGTTTGGAGGTAAAGAGCACTGAAAACTGGCACTGATCCTCATCTCAACTTTGAAGCACAGTGGAGGGAGCATCATGGTTTGGGCTGCTTTGATACTTCAGGTGTTGAATGCCTTGTAATCACTGACAGAGCAATGAATTTAATATGTATCAGGGCACCAGCCCATGTTTTGGAGCTTAAGACAGCTTGAGTGAGTCAATATTAACACAAAATCCACACATCAGCCGCACATATATTAAAATTAATATAAACTCAAATTCATTTTTAAGTCATTTTTATTAGTATAAACTGCTGAGGTGAACTACCATGTGGTCAGGATGTTAAAGTATGGTCATTTATTGTTTTTGCTTCCCTTCATAGTGTGATTAGTTCATGTTTATGAAGCAACAGCGTCTTGCTCATCCATAAATCCTTTGTAAACTATGGTTTGAAATTAGATCATCATTCAGCCTCTATTGCTATACATAAACTGTTTACTTTCCAGTATTGTAATAAAATTAACAGTTATGTTATGCATATGAAAATTCAAAGGAGGATTTTACCATTTTATTACCATCAGGATATCATATCGTTACTAATATATTACTGTGCTAATTATTAATTAGTTTTACCTCATATGGATACATTTGTTTCCAAGTTTTTACCCCTAGTTTCTGGTCTGTTATTACCCAATTGTATACATTTCAGTGTAATATTATGCAGCTATAAATACTTTTGATACAAAATAATTACTTTGGTGTTATTAATTTAGTGGCAGTAAAATATTTGAGCCAGTTTCGCCCTTATTACCCCAATATTACTGCTTTATTACCAAGTTGTAACACAATGTGTCACCCATCTGTTTATAGTATTAGGAAGTCCTGCTGTTCATTTATATTAAATTCCCTTTTATTCAAGTATTTATTTCTTTTTATGTGTTGCATTGCTTTGGCACCAAAACAGCTACTAAGTTAATCACTTAAACCTGTAAGTTAATCTTGTCACTCACCGCCTCCATTTTGATGGCAGAGGTATGGAAATCTCCACACATTCCCTAAGCCCACACTGAAGCCCACCTGGGCTAACACATACTGAATCTTAGAATCCCATGCTGGACGGTCTCCGTCGTCTGTCGCAGCTTCATCGGGACCATCCACAGCTGTGAGCTGAGTTTGGGACCGGCCTTCTTCCATCCAGGTTCTGCCCTCGCTGCCGTCCAGCGGAGGCTTTTCTGTCTTGTTATAACGAGAAGAAGTAATATGATGAACTAAACCGATTATCAGTTGAAGCTTCATCCTGACGTGTGAGTCTGCACAAAGTCATTGTAGTTATGCTGAGCAAATATGTGTGGAAAACACACTACTTTGTGCACAAAATTATGTAAGGAAAGAATTAAATTATGCTAGGAAAAAACTTTATCACACATTTATCAGGGACAACAAAGAGGAAAAGCACTTGCTGTTATATTGTTATGTTGTCATGTTGTCGAAGGTTATATCACTACTCCTTATCAGTGTGAAAACACAGCAGTGAGACAATGCATTACGTAATCCAACATTAAGGCATTATCTTTACTCTAACTTGTCATTCTCCCATCACTACGTCAGATGTATGAAGAAATGCTAATGCAGACACTGAATTTCCTACTGATGCTCTTTTACGTTAAAGTCATTCAACTGGCATATTTAGCACTGAGGAGAAGCCCAACTGTGACTGACCTTTCAAAATGCTTCATCAGTACACCCAGGTGTTAGCAATTCATTAGCAAGACTGACATAATGGCAGGTTTAAATGCATATAGAATGCATAAATAATGGATGTGTGTTACTTACTGTGCTCTTTCTTATTATGAAATTATCCAGATAAAAAACTTTGTTGCATCACCTCAATTCTCTTTCATTTAATGTAAACACCAGGGTCATGGTGTGCATTTCAGGGAAAAAAAGCATTCAGCTGAATCACCTCCACACTGAACACTAAATGTCAGCTCAGATGAAAGTGACGGATCCAAAATGGCTTAACACAAGCCAAGCTGGCTTCAGAACATGACCTCTCCTGGTATCAGCTGGTTAGAATGGAAAATTACAAGACCCAGAAAGAGTTCATGGCTGTTCAAAACACACGGCCGGATAGGGCAGGTGATTTCAGAAATATCCATGCCCACATGCATAGAGTGTGAGACTGTGACAAATATATGCATGCACAAATAGAAAGGAGGGGAAAGTGGGGCGGACAGAAGCCATACAGTGATGTGTGGTTGGGAGTGGGAGGGAGAAATCCGCTGGGAGGTGTTAGGCTTGCATTGGTTCATACTGTGGGTGGTGCTGAGGTGCATGGGTAAACCACAAAGTGGGTACAGTTGGTAATAATATAGGAAAAAAGTTAGGGTTAGGGCTATCAGGGTATGCTGAACAAATAATTAAAAAGTCAACAGCTTGATTAAGCTTTAAGGATCCATGTGTTTGAGCTATAAACTATAACATGGACTATACTGAAAAAGTCTGCTTCACACACTCCTGTGAGTTCATTTGATCACTTACCTTAGAGCAAACACACTTTTCTATAGAGCTGAAGTGACTAGTAGATTTTCATTTCATTTCATTTCCATTTATTTATTTATTGTCATTGTCAGAGAACAATGAAATTGCGTTTGGGGCTTCCGTACAACCCGTAAATAAAATAAAGAAGAAGATAATAAATACCCCTTCAAACCCAAGTGTAAATATTTAACCCAGTGTGACTCCAGTGCAATAAGACAATCCTTA